AGGGAAACTGGGCAGCGCAGGGGACTCGCGGTGCGGCCGGACCGCTCCCCTCAGCGATCGGGCAGAGGGTGTGACCCGGCCTCCCCGCGCTCACCCGGGCGGGGTTATTTCAGGGACTCTGACCTCTGCGAGGAAAGTCCCACAAGCACAGCCCCATACCACCCCCCACCACCACACTGACTTGCTCCGCCTCCCCAAACTCAAAGCCAGCGTCGGTGGACCTGAGTCCCGGCCCTAACTCGGGGCGGCGGGAGCTAGGGCTTCACAGCTGTGTAGGGAGCCGAGCCGGATTGGCTGGGGCGAGGCTTAAAGTGCCCTGCGCTGAGCTCGCAGCAGGAGGGGCTCCGTAGATACTCTGGACCCTGCTCTGCCACCGACTTGCTCTGTGACCTGGAGCAGTTCGCTGGACTTCTGGGGACCCGATTCCCCGTCCTAGGCCCTAGGATGACAGAATTGTCCTTCTAGCCGGGAGTCTGTGGTGAGCTACAAGCAGTACTTTCTGCTTTCACGAACTTCCACCTTCTTTCCTCACACTCTCCCCAACCCCAGCTCCTTGCCCTCTGGCCTCCTCACTAGACTACTCTAAGGTTTCTCTGACAAATACGTTCCCCATCCTTCCTGATATGGCTCTGATGAGATTATACCTAAGAGAACCGGATTCCTCAGAGGTTCTTTGAGGTCTTGGGTCTTCAGGGAACCCTGGACTTTTCTCCCGGTGCTTACCAAGGTTGGTCACTCCCTTGCCCAAAACCCTTTTGTGGCTCCCTGTTACACTCAGGCCATGCCTGCGTCTCTATTCTCAGCAGAGCCCTTCCCCTAGCCAGACGGGCTTTTGCCCCTCCTGTTCTTTCAGACCTAAACACTCTTCCCTTCTTTTCTTAACTTGCATTATTCCTTCAAATTTTAGTTTAGAAAAAACTTCCCTGACCAGGACATGGTGATGCATGTATGCAGTCCCAGCATTGGGAGGTGGAGGCAGGGCCAATAAAATTCCAGCTGGGTCAACTTAGTGTCTTAGTGAGATCCTGTCTCAAATTTTAAAAGAGCTGGGATTGTAGCTCAGTGCAAATACCCTGGGTTCAATCCCTGGTACAGAGAGAGACAGACACAGACAGACACAGGAAGACAGACAGAACCACTTCTCCTGGATGGGGAGAAAGGTTCCGGGGTTGACTCCTACCACAATGAACAGGTACTGCCTTAGATTATTTCATGTCTTTCTTCTCTTTTAGAATGTCAAGCCAGGCGCAGTGCTGCACACCTTTAAACCCAGCATTCAGGAGGCTGAGGCAGGAGGATCACCACGAGTTTGAGGTCAGCTGGGACTACACAGCAAGACCCTGTCTCAAAAAAATCAGAGAGAAAGAGAGAGAGGAGAGAAAGAAAGAAAGAGGAAAGAAGGAGAAAAGAATGTCAGTTACAGGACAGTAACTTACTTGTGACTGTGTCCCTCAATGACAGTAATGGGTACAGGTTCGGGACCAAAGTCAGTTGTCAGTAGAAGTTCATCGAATGAATGAGTGAATCTCTACAGAGCATCTGCCCCTTCTCAGCTTACATGCCTGCAGAGGGAGGGAGCTCACTATGTACGAAGCAGCCTGCTCCGTGTGCTTGGTGGAAGGTCTCCAATTCCTGCCCACACCAGCCAGTGCCCAAGAGATTCCCTGGAGTGAGGCTCAGAGGGAGCAAGTACCTTGTCTGTTCCTTGGTACAAAGCCAAGGCCTGCTCACCTATCCTGAGGACACCTGTAGCCCACCTGGCCCTAGTAGGGCCCATGGGTGACAGCACTGGCCAGATTCCCCACAGCCTGGATCCATTTGTAGGCCTGGGACTTGAGATGCCACCACAGCCCATTTCCCCTTTGTCCAGGGCAGTTGATCAGCATCGGAAGGGACAGAGACACCAAGTCCCCAGTCTAGGAGCAGCGAAGCCAGTAAGAAAGCACTTTAAAGTAGCACTGGACTCCTACAGCCTTAGTCAACCCCCATGCCAGCCCTGTAAGGGAGGAGACATTGTCTGCACTTTACAGATTCACACACTGAGGTTCCTGGGTGGTTGCAACTTTCCTAAGGCCACACAGTGAGACAGGGGCAAAGCCAGGCCTAACTTTGAAACAAAACCTTCCTTCCCCTCAGTCTCTCAGCGTAGTGCTACCTTAGTGTCTACCCACCTTGCTCCCAGGCCTGTTCTGTGGAAGCATCATGAGGTCTGAAGGGTTTCCTGCTTCTGTTCCCCACAGCTGGGTTTTCATCCCCAGTGGGGACTCCACAGCTGTGCCTTGGCAGAGGCTCAGGGCTGGCTGAACACAAGAGCACCCCTTCCTTCTGCACTCGCGCTCCCTAAAAGTGCAGTGGGACCCAGGCCAAACTAGGCAGAGGCCAGGGAACTGTCTCAGGAGACCACGTCCCTGAAATGGGGCTGAGTCACTTACTTGCCATACGTCCCTGGGTGAGTTCCTTTCCTTGGAGACTCAGTTTATCATTTGGAAAGGGGGTGAATCGTCCTTCCATGGGGCTTTAGTGTGCCAGGGTTCAGGAACACTGTCCTTCTCTCTCCTGTCCCCTCATCCTGAAGCCCTCGTCTTGAAGCACAGAGCACTTCTCAGGGGCCCAGTGGCAGCAAGGTGCTAGCATTTCAGGTCCTTGATCGGGGTCACAGCTCCTAGGTTGTGCAGTGGTGGGGTCCCCAGCCTCCAGCCTCAGCCCCGTTGGCCTTGCTCAGCCTGTGCTGGGAAGCTGGCTCTCTTGTATCTGCCTCTGATTTCTGTGGCCTTGACAGAGCCTTTCCGCAGGGCACTGCTCTCTCTCCTGCCTCCCTCTTACTCCTCTGCCCTCCTTCCCTTCTTCCCCCCAAGAGGGTGTATCCATTATCCCTGCCACCCTGTGCCTGGCACTGGTACCCTTTGGAAGCTCACAGCTCGGTGGGGGGAAATGGACAAGAAAATCGAGGCACAATTCACTCCTTCATCCCAAGCCCTCGCCCTCCTGCCCTGACCCGGCACACACTCACCCAGCAGCAGAACCGAACTTCAAACCCAACTCTCTCTCAAGGCTCCTGGTGTCAAAGGAAAAGCCAGTTTCCTTGCCGTGACCTGCAAGGCCCTGCGTGTGCTCCCTCATCGCCTCCCCGCTCCATCCTCCACTGCCTTGCTGTTTTCAACACCAGCTCCTGCCTCCTGCCTCAGGCCTTTGCTGAGCCACTGCCAGGGCTCCTGCGAAGTACCTCCCTTTGGCCTCCTCCTCACTCAGGTGTCTCCCCCATCCGGGCCTTCCTGGCTCCTCACCCAAGGGCTCGTCCTTAGCTGTCTCTGCCCATGTGTCTGCCTTTTATTGTTTTTTCTTAGCACTATCAAATGACATGTAATTATTTATTTCCTGTTCCCCGACAGGAGTGTGAGTCTCGTGAAAAATCTCCTGAAGTTTCCCAACACTCAGAAAAAAAGGAAGGAGAATAAAAGGAAAATTCTAGAAAAGGGGAGGAATGAAGGGAAAGGAAATGAGAAGGAAGGAAGGAGAAAGCAACGCTGACCTTAGCCTTACTACTACTGGATGGTGCTTGAACCTTCAGGCTGGGGGTGTAGCTCAGCGGCAAAGCACTTGCCTAGCATGTGTGAGCCCCTGGGATGGAAACCCAGTGTTACAGCGCGTGCGCACATGCGCACACACACACACACACACACACACACACACACACACAATTTCAATTAAAACAATTTGGAATGGATTCAGGAAGAAACAAACAGACCAACAGACTGAGAGAGGAAGTCCAAAAATAGACCCAAATGCACATGGGGATTTAATAGTTGGTACAAGTGGCATCTCAAAATGGAGAGCTGACTCTTCATTGCATGGTGCTGGGACAGCAAGGAGGACAACTGGGGGGAGAAAAAAAAAAAGAAAATGTTCGTACAGAGCACCAGGATGAGCTCCAAAGGGACCAGAGATTTAAGTGCTGGAAAACTCAAAATAAAATCATAAAAGCGCTAGTGGAAAACATGGGACAATTTATAATCTCATAGTGGGAAAAGACTCAAAATATCAAAAGGCCATAAAAAAGATTGATAAAGTCAACTATGTAAAAATCAAAGACATCTGCATGGGATAACTCTATACATCAAATCACAGGGGAAATCATCAACCTGAGGAAACTTTGCAACCCAGATCACAAAGGGTCATTTCTCTAATTTGTAAAGAATTCCTGGAAATTGATACAAAGGACCAACAACCTAACAGAAACATGGGCATAAACTTTGCACTGAGAATTCCCAGAGAACAAATACAAATGGCTTCAAACATATGAAAAGAGGTTCAAACTCGCTCAAAGGAAGCCAAAACCAAGACATCTCCAGTGCAGTCCTCTTTCTTACCAATCTGGTTAAAAATCTGTTTGGTAACTTATCTTTTTTATTGGCAGTACTAGAGATTAACCCAGGGCATCCATACATGCGAGGCAAGTGCCGTACTACTGAGCTACATCCCTAATCCTTTTTATTTTTAATTTTATTTTGGGCTAGGTATGATGGTGCACATGGCAATCCCAGCACTCAGGAGGTTGAGGCAGGAGGATTAATGCAAGTTCAAGACCAGCTGGGCTACATAGTAAGTTCAAGGCCAGCCTGAACTACACAATGACAGCCTGTCTCAAAAAAATAAAAATTTGAGTCTCTCTGAGTAGCCCAGGCTAGGCTCTAAATTGTGGTCTTCCTGCCTCAGCCTCCTGCATAACTGAAATTAAATCATACATATATTTGTGAACATCTCTGCAAGGAAACAGCAGTACTTTCACAATCTTCTCACAGAGTACTCTCATACCTATGAATATAAGTTAGTAAAGCTTCCCAGAAGAACACTTGGCAAAATCTATTAAAATTAAAAATGCATATAGTGCTTACTTCGGCAGCACATATACTAAAAAAATGCATGCAGTTATCTTACTTCTGGGAATTTATTCTTCAGATATCCTTGCATGAGTAAGAAATGATGTATATATAAAATCATTTTCTACAGCATTGTTTGCTGTAGAAAAAGTCTGAAAACAGTTCATTAGTAAGGGGGTTAGATTAGGTACAGCATAAGCCATCCACGCAGTGGAATAGTATGCAGCAAAGAAAATAAGGGAAATCTGTGTTTCCCAATAGGGAAAATTCTGTAAGGAATATGTTTAAAAGGCAAGGCACAACTGGGTATGGTGGCACACATCTGTACTCTCAATGCTCTGGGTTGTAAGTTTGAGCCTAAACTGGGCAATTTTGCAACTTAGCCAGATCTTGTCTCAAAATTTTAAAAAAAGAAAAGAAAGAAAGAAAAGAGGGTGAAGGGAGGGCAGGGACAAGGGGGAAAAATGAGAACCAAGACCACCTGTCATGTAAAGCTACAAGATCCCAATAATGAATGTAACTGTACTGTATGCCTAAAATGTACCAATAAACTCAATAAAAGAAAAAAGAAAGAAAGAAAAGAAAAAGAGCTGGGCAGGCAGCACAGTGCAAAGGCCCTGGGTTCAATCCCCAATACCACACACACGTACGTACACACACATGCACACACAGCAAGGCAGAGAGTGAGGGTTTAACCAGTGATTAAGAAGCACACATTCAGGGGCTGGGGATTTAGCTCAGTGATGCTACTGCCTGCCTTGCAAGTGCAAGGTCCTAACTTCAATCCCTGGTCAAAAAAAAAAAAAAAAAAAAAAAACACAGAAATTGTGTTTTTTGTTTTGTTTTTTTCAGAAGCAGTTCAAATACTAGCCCTGCTACTGTGCTGGATTGGAGCATATCCCACCAAAGTTCAGGTTTATCTGCAATCTATAGATATCATATAGTTGGAAATAAGTTCTCTTTACAAATGTTGAAGAGTTAAGATGAGGTCATACCTGATTAGAGTGACCCCTTAATCCAATATAATGTGTATCCTTACAGAAAGGAGACAATTTGGCCACAGAGACAGACATGCGCAGTTTAGGATGTCACACAGAGAGACTGGCGCACAGTAGTGGAGGTCAAGCAGCTCCAGCCCTCCCGCACCTGAAAGCCAAGAGAACAGGGAACTGTCGTCCATAGAGCCTCCAGGAGGAATGAACCCTGACATTACTTTGATTTTGTACTTCAGCTTTCACAGTGATGAATCAGTTTCTGTTGTGTTAAGCCACCCAGTTTGTGTTACAGCAGCCCTAGGAAATTAATAAGTTACTTAGCAACTTTTGGACAAATTATTTAGTCCTTCTATGTCTTTGTTTCCTCATTTGTAAGATAGATACACTAGTACTTGCTTCATAGGATTGGGTTACAGAGTTAATCTTTTAAAGATTTAAAATACTACTCTGAGGCTGAGGCAGGAGGATTGCTGTGAGTTTGAGCACAAGGCTGTGTAGTGAGCACAAGGCCAGCCTGAACTACAGAGTAAGACCTTGTCTCAAAAAAAAAAAAAAAAATCAAGAAAAATAATATTTAAAACGAAGTCTGAAGCCAGGTGTGGTGCCACATGCCTGTAACCCTGGCACTCTTGGAGGCTGAGGCAGGAGGTTAGCAAGTTTGAACCCTGCCTGGGCAATTTAGCAACTTAGTGAGACCATGTCTCCAAATGAAATAAGGAAAGCTGGGGAGGAAGCTCAGAGCAAAGGCCCTGGGTTCAATCCCTGGTACAGTCAATCAATCTGATACATAGTACTTGCTATATAACTATTAAATAAATATATGTTTGCATTTGCGTGGAGAAATCCTGGAGAGGCAAAGAAGAAACCAATAAAAGTGGTTGGTAGAAGGGAGGGAATGCGGAGATGGGAGCAAAACTTTGCCTTTTCTAGGTTTTTTTATATTTTTTTCTTTTGTGAACCATACTATCTGAAAACTGAATTAAAACTTATTTTAAAACACGAATCATTGTTCTCCTACTCAGAAACTCTCCAGTGGTTTTCCACTGAGTTTATGACAAAATCGCACATCCTTCCTGTGAGAGCCAAGACCTCCCAGGGTGTGGACCCTTCCTCCACCCGCTGCCCCAGCCTGCACCTAGCTTCACCTGCCCTTACCTCATTGGTCCCTGCTAAATGTCACCTCTGCGGGGAGGCCTTTCACCTGAGAAACATATTCTTTGTTCACGAAAAGCTCCAGACAGTGGTGCAGGCCTGTAATCCCCACACTCTGGGAGACTGAGGCAGGAGGATTGAAAGAGCTCACCCTGGGCAATTTAGCAATTTAGTAAGATCCTGTCTCAAAAGAAAATAATGAAAAAAAATGAATAAAAGCCTGATTGCCAACACTTTCTCGCCCCTTCCCTACTTTACCTTTCTTCAAGACAGGTATCGCTCCTGACAGTGCGCAGTGCTGATTGTCTCATCTTATTGCTAAAGTCCAAGAGGTGAGAGAGCTGGAGGTGGTGGTGTGCGCCTATAATCCCAGTACTGCGGGAGGCCGAGGCAGAACGATAGCAAGCTCAAGATGAGCCTGGGCAACTTAGCAAGAACCTGTGACAAAATATTTAAAAAGCTACGCTTGTTCGTCAGTGTGATGGCCCTAGGTTCGGTCCCCGGTACTGAGGGAAAAGAAGGAGGGGCGGGACTGCTTCTGTCCTGCTCTTGTCTGTCTCATCGTCTGAGCACAGAGCCTGGCAGAGTCAGAAAATGTGCGCTGAATAACCAAGCCGCCGTCTGCACAGTGCTTGAGTGGAGCATGGCCCGCAGTTGAGGTTCTCAGCGTGGCTTCCCTGGACCGGTCACACTGTCCTTACCCACTCTCCAGAGCTCTGCTCTCCTTTCCACGTGACCTTTGCCTTGGGCCGTGGACCTCAAGGTGCGCCTGCCTCCTTCCTACGCAACAGTCTCCCCTGTGCAGGAGCTGTGGGAACCGTAGCTCCACCTCGCTCTGGCTCCCTCCCTTCACAGAACTCAGCCTAAGGAGCCAGTACAGGGGCCATTGTGTCATTTCCTGACTAGAAAGGAATTCCCCTCTGGCTAGTTCCTCCTCTGTGTCAGTAAGTCCCTCCTGCAGCCTAACTGGAAACGTTCTTGCTGCAATGAAGAATGAGTTTCTTCTTAGCTCCCTAGGGCCTCAGAGAGCAGCTGGACTCTTGTTTCCAGTCGGTTGGTTCTCAGGCGTCAGGGAGGGGACCTTCACTGGAGTCTCTGGTCTAAGCTCCCAGGCAGAGCCACGCTGGCTAGGTGCTTGGAGAAAAGGCTTCCCTTGTTTGGCTTAAGAGGATCTCGGTGGGCCTCTCGGGGCTGCCGGCTCCCTTGGTAGTGGTCTGTGAGGTGGCTGGGCCTGAGGCTCATGGTGTGGCCAAGGTTTGGGGAGTTAATGAACCCAGACAAGTAGAGAGGTTGACACCTGTGAGCTTGACCACCTGACTCCCACGCCCCCTTCTTACTTTATCCATCCATTCACGAAGTCAGGGCAGAGTCACATGGCCAGAAGTTCCCACCATGCGTTTGGCACCTTGTGCTTACCTCCCTGGAGTCTCTCTTCCTGTCAGGAATATAGGGAGAACAGCACCACATGTCTGTGCTCAGTGTGAAGATTAAATGAGCTAATGTATCTGAGCCCACAGCACACACTTGGCTTGTGGTAAATGTTCAATAAATATGTTGGTTTTTTCAATTCAGTCTACAAACCCTGGGAGATGCCTTTATAAAATAAAGTCCAAAGGGCTGGGGATGTAGCTTAGTGGTGCTACACCTGCCTGGCAAGTGCAAGGTCCTGAGTTCAGTTCCCCATACCTGGAAAAAAAAAAAAAAGTAAAATAAATCTCAAGCAACAGAATATTGAAGGACAATGTGGGGCTGGAAGCCTCCCGCCTGGCTGCTGCCCTACTGGGTGACCACAGAGAAGGCACAGCCTTGGTCCTGCCAGGGCGAAGACAGAAGTTGGAACAGGGATTGATGCTTAAAATGAGGAGGGGGCAGGAGCAGGACTAAGGACTTGGACTAAAGCTGGCTGGCCTTGATTTCCAACTTTGCCCCTTCAGAGCTCTCCAAGAGTGACCTTGGGTGAGGCCCCCCACCCTCAGTTCCCCCCTCTGAAGAGTGGGGAGCAGCACCCCAGGTGGTAGGGAGGTCTCGGGGATGCAGGAGGAGGGACATGGCAAGCTCGGAGCTGCTGTGTCCCTGCACGGGACCTGGGGTGGGAGCCCAGGTGGAAATCCTTCCTGTGCAGCCCCGGTCCGCGAAGCTGAGGGTCAGGTCCCTGCCACATCCTGTGAAGTCTGCCATGGGATTCCCTAGGCTCTGGTGCTGTATCTCAGCTGAGGACTTTTGTGCAAAGCACATCCTGGGGTGGGGGCACAAGAGCACCCGGAATATCACATCTGCTCCCACGCTGAGCCAGAAAGGACAGCTCTGGCCTTCTTGTCATTGAGTCGCTGCCTCCTTGGACCTTCTTCCCCATCTGTAAAATAGCAAGGAGGAGCTCAGCCCTGAAAGAGTCTTTCACAATGAGCTTGCCGTGTTCTCAGGCTGAAGTCCAAATAAAAGCACCTGCCCTCCTGACCGTGCTGAAGTTATGGGTGTCCGATGTCAGCTCAGGCTCAC